GAAAGACAGATTGATCAATCTCTCCAAGTCCATGGGATGCAAGTTTTATTTAAAAATGTGATGATGAAAGTTCATAGTGCAACGTACGTGTACGCAATAAATTTCAAGTTCTTCAAGGTTCATTGTTTCAAGTTTTTTTCCTTAAATAATTGTAAACTGCCTAATAAATTATTCATAAATTTAATTTTGTTTATACTCTGCACATAATTTTTTTTCTTCGTGTTGATTAATTGATTCACGAAGCAAGTTTCACAAGCTCTGAGAATCTCAATTCCATACGCGACACGAATTCCATCCGCAACACTAATCTCAATTCAATACACAACACGAATTCTATCCGCAACGCGAATCTCAGTTCTATACGCGACTCGAATCTCAATTCCATACGCTACACGAATTCCATCTGATACGCGTCACTAATTCCGTCCGCTACACGAATCTCAATTTCATACGCAACACGAAATCACAATTCCGTAAGCAACACGAATTCAATTCGCTACACGAACCTCAATTCTATACGCAACACGGCACTGCAGGTTCGCTTTGCAGTGAAGGCCCACGTGGAGTATCGACTTTCAGGCACTTATTTGCGCTGACCGCCGGCATGACTCTGCTAATAGGGAACTGCGTGGCCGCAATGCAAGGGCCCCTCCATAAAATGAATTGGTCGGCCGCGGCCACTCCTCTGTTTGCTCTCCTTAAAAAAGTCAGTAGAAGTTTTCCTTTTTGGGGTGTTGGTCTTTGCGACCATGATTTTAAGGATGGATGGGTTTCATGCATGGTTGAACTAGTATAAGGTTGACCCATAGGAAGCTCATTTTTGCTGACGTAGTTTGTTGTTCGCCTGTGACGTACGGGCATTCCCCATTCACCAAAATGCGATCAATCCAATCAACCAATCCGTCATGGGAATGATTGGATTGTTTACGTTTCTCGATCTCTGTGACGTTGAAAGCTGAACTGAAAGACGGATATCCTCGTGGGTCAAACTTATATAGTTCAACCATGGGATTCATGTTGTGAATTGGATCTGTAATGAAGCATGTTTAAGGCCTGAAACTTGATAAGAATCCTGACTCTCACTAATATTAGCGGTGGAAACATCTTGTATTGCACTCATGGGGATTTGGAAATCAAGCGGAGTTTGCAAATTTAGTTGAATTCTGTTTCAGTTCTCGGTCTTACATGGCCTCTCTGACCTCAGGCAAATGAATGGCTGTAATTGTTCGTTATGTTCGGTTGTTTTCTCGTGACCTTTCTTTGGCTTTATTGTGTAGGCCTGCTTGTTCAAAAAAGAAAGAAAGAAACTCATGCTACACACTCACTACTCGGTGACCTTGTCCAGTAATTGTCCAGCTATTCCGCAATTAGTTCGACTCTTTTGTCATTACTTGCCATCATTTCTGGACCTTGTATTCGATTCACCAGCCAGACTCAATTCTTTCTACAATTTATTCGTCTAAAATGTCCATAATGTTACTATAATCGAAGCACTCAATAAGCCAAATTCGCCTAGATTTACAAATTAAAAACTATACATAAACTTTTTCACTATCGAAGACTGCAAATAATAATACCTGCCATTGATGTTACAATTGAACCATAGTCCTTGTTTCGATTGCGAGGCGGGTTTCAATAAATCAATGTGATTTATTGAATCAATGTTGTTCCCCATTCCAATACCTGTAACAATTTTCCGCTGTTCTTATCTTGCTTCTGGAAAACTAAGCTATTTAGATCGGCAAAATCGTTTCTATTTTCAATATTTTATGAAAAATCGTCAAGGAATATGAATTTCTATTGTTATGAGTTGAATCTACTGAAGCTGTTTTTTTACTACAATGGTAAATCTACTAAACGGTATTTCGGGGACCGCCTGTCATGTTATACCGCCATGCCTCCACATGCCGCCAAGTCCCTAGCCTAACCCAAGCTGGCGCTCCACGGGGCGCGTGAGGTCGTATGTCAGTGGATCATTGCGCTCGTAAATTTGTTCACTCCATTGTCCTGAGGCCTTGTGTGTATATTTATTGTCCCGGCCTTGCTTGCCAGCTAACACATAAATAAAAGTATCGTCAGCAATCTTCCATCGTTTGTACCTTTCCGCTAGCCTATTGTTTTTTTCGTGGTTCCTCCAATTTTTCATTTGATCCAGAAAGCTTTAGTCGATAGTTGATATTTTTTGCGGTTCACCTAAAAGTGGCGCTCTTAACCATGCATGTTTGATGATGTCATGAATGCGAATTAGTTTCTCATTCTCGATTTATTCGCCTTGCTTACTGTCATAAATATGTTCTCATTCGTTGTTCTCGTTTATATGCTCCCACCTTTTCTGAAATTTCTAAACCTACTGATTTAAGGCACACCTGTGTTCATGTCTCTGAGTTTATATAGGATTAAGAACGTTTACTCGTAAACATCTAGGCATAATGAACGCTGTTGCAGTTTCATTTTAAACTTCATGGCTCTATTTTAGGTCGTCACCATGTCTTTATAACCTTGTAGAGTTGTAGCTGCAATAAAGATGCAAATGTGTCCCTCAAAGCTTAGGTTACCTTCACCTCCTGCGCTGGAAGGCCGTTCGTTAGTGATGGTCTAAGGTTAGTCATGAGTCCAAGTATACTAATTAATGCCTTGCTATCTGCATCACGCTAGTTCCCTAACAAAATTCCTGTTTGGCTCCAGCTTTAATGGGGCTAATCGCAGCAGCAATTGATGTTATTTTTTATTTGTAAGCAAGATTTACTCCGTGTCCTTTTGAACTTATCAAGGGCGTTCAGACGGTGTAAACAGAATCAAGAACAAATCAAAGATAAATTGTTACCGAGATCATCAATACTGCGCAATGTTTTTGCGTTGTATTTCTTTGCGAATGTCTTTCGTTGTGAATAGCAAACGGAATTTTCATGAATTTATTATTAACTAGTGCATGCTGTCTTAATTTCTTCGTAATTCATCTATTTTATGATTATGTTTGCCGCATACGGTGCACACATTCAAATGATTGCCTGTAAAAAATCTTTATTGCATTTAGATATGCTTTTGTGTCAATGAGTTACGTTCTATGTACCTATATATATCAGGAAAATACCAGGCTCCGATAGTCGACTCCTTCAATCGTTTCCGCGTTTGGGACGGCATTCTCGACTCCATCTTAACGTTGTTCCTACCCGAGGGCGCAGACTTTTGGTTGGTTAATAGGACTGTATACGAGCTATTCATATGCCAAGTATTCGATTTATACATTTAACAGAAACTACAGCAGGTAAAAAATTTGCTAATCATTTTTAAAAATTCGTTTTCTAATCGCCTGCTCCAAACTGAGTCAGTTCGGGGTCTGTGACTTTTTTACGACTCAAATTTCAAGAATTTAGCCCCGGTTCTGGCCAGGAGTGACGATTCTAGGGATCCAGTGGATCTTGTTCCTAGCTCCTTAACCTCCTCCCACTTACGCTTGTCTTGGATACTATGCTATTCATACCTGGGCATTCATTCGGGCCGTTTAGTGCTGAGAACTGGAACCCCGTTGCTTTACAGAACGATAAGCGTCTTCTTAAAATTGCCTAGTTGTATGTAGCATACATGTTTTCCCTCATGAGATAGAAGCCTTGGCTTCGTTTTCCGCTTCAGCTAGAGCTTCTAAAGACGCATTCTTGGAATTGTTTTCTTTGCATGGGTAATGCGTTGGATCGCAGTATCTATCGTTCTTGCGTTGAAATTAATAAATTATGTTGAATAGAATAGAAGTGTCGACGTTGAAGAAATAGGCCCATGGCCTGTTGCCGATTCTTGAACTTTTCGTGACTTGATTCACAAGGGATCCTTTGGAACCCGATCTTACTTATTGCCTGATCCGTAATTTGCTAGGCATTGAATATTGAAGAATATTTAGTCTGCGTATCATTGTTTATAAATTGTGATAATGTATATTTAACGGTTAAGTTCCGCTGATATCTGTTCCAGAAGACTAGGTATTTTTTCACCATTTTACTTAAGTCATTTGAATTTAATCTTTTTAATAGTTATATTTTGCCAAAGCGTAGTTCGTTATAGCTTAATTTTGAAACCACTTCGAATCGCCGCATTTTCTCTGTTTCATATAACAAATCGCGTGAACCAATGAAATGAAATATCATTTTACTAATTTATATTTCAATAAATGAGTAATTTAAAGTCACGTTCTAATATAATCCTTCATTTGAATTTATCTACAGATAAACCCATAAACCACAATGACTATTATTATAAATACTCGTATAGAACTGGCACTATGACACGTACAGAGAAAAAGAAAACGTGAAGATGCCTGTCCTCGATGGTACGCAATTGTTAGGATCATTTGTTCCTATCATACGCAACAGTGTGTTAGATCAACGTCTGCTTTCTATAAAGATCAATATAGAAATAAATGGACACTCGTTCATGTCTAGCCCACTTATCAATCAATTACTTGCCCATATCAGACATCCATTCGTCCAATTGAGTCTATTAACGTCGTATGGTTTGTATCGGTAATACTCTTAGTTTTCTTGGTTTCGGATAATAATTTTAATTAAATGCTCTCCTTATTTTCTCTTCGTGAAAGTATTTTTAAATCATAAACTTTCCTGCGCTAACTTTCGTAAACAAGAATATTGTGTCTTAATATTTATGAAATTTATTTATATTTTTTGCAGATGTGAGAGCAGGACTGCGTTCTCTCTGGAAGTGTTATCAGATAAATGCCGTACGCAATGGACTTTGATCGCGTAACTAATGGAGCTTGTGACTATTGTGAGCGTGGCCAAGTGGACACCTGGCTTCAAAGTTAACTTCACCTCAATACAGAACCAAATTAACTTCATCTCCATATACACCTGCATTCATTACTTCAAAATAAACGTTCAATCTATCGAACTATTTTACAGTGAAATTTTTAAAATATTTTTTGGGGTCGAGTCTTGAAAATATTAATGTACTCGCATACCCAGTGAAAATTTGTAGACGCGTCAGCTTCTGATTTGGATTACCAGAAGCTAGGGCGACTCTAAATTTTGTTAGGGTAGTCACCCGACCATGACTATGGACCCGCCGCTCGTCTTGTCGCCCTCGTCCATCCACCTGCCCCCGGATGTTACAGCCCTCGTGCTGGACGCCTCGTGTAACACGTCCCTCGTGCTGTGGGGTAACCTCGTTCCCCAGACACCCGGGGGCGACGGGTGTGTGGGCAACGTCAACTGCACCGCCACCCAACCCCCGCGAGGAGCGTCTATCGTGTTCCCCATCTTTCTGTGCCTCACTGGGATCATGGGTGAGGATTATTATTTCTATTAATGTGTACTATTTCTATTAGTATTTCATTATAAGGGTCCCATCTTTCTGTGCCTCACAGGGATCATGGGTGAGCGTAATTATTTTTATAAATGTATCTACTTGTATTTTTATGTAGGTCCTCATCTTTCTGTGCCTCACATGAACCACGGGTTTGGGTCAGAATTTTTAATAATAATGTGTTATATTTCTTATTAATGTGTTAGATTTCTTATTAATGTGTTATATTTGTTTTGAGGTAAGTTTTTTGAAGTTTGCACGTTTGCGTTTATATAATCTAACGCATTTGCCATCACATATTTCTAACTGAATTGCATAAAAATACTTGAATTTTCTCACTCTCTCTTTATGCATTGATAGTGGCTTTTAATTTTGATTTTCTACCAAATATCATTTATGATCATTTTTCTTGAAACTCGACTTGGTGAAATAACGACTACAAAATCTTCAACGATCTGTTTTGTAACGAAGTGAAAATTCATGCATGTTGGCGCATGAATCAATGGTAGCAATTATTAGTCTGTTTTGTTTCCTTTTTTTCAGAAAAATAAATAAATTGTGGTCCGCTATTTTCTTCGCACAAATTAATTTGTGGTCCTCTCTTTTATGAGCACATTTTCAAGGGCCATATATATAAGCGCCACCATCATGCCAAACATTATGATGGACGGAATCTCATGAACATGTTCAGGGATTTAAAACATAGGAAACTTGTGAAAAAAATAAAATACGGTTTTCCAAAAGTCTCGGTCACTTTTTGCCATCGAATATCTCGGAAACTACCATGAATAAAAAAGGGCCTTTGGTCTGTTCATGAAGCTTGCAATATACAGTTTTCTATGATGGGTTGAAAGATGTTCAATGTAAGCAATATCGGCCAAAATACACGTATCAAGCCGATATTTAAGTTTTCGTTAAAAGTGTTCCTCAATATTTTATTATCAATGCAATGTTAAAAATGATAAAATCCAAAGCCTTCTATAAAAGACGTAATGTAATTAACTTAAATAGACACAACTTTCACACTATTACTTCCATGCTGACTTAAACAGATATTGGGCCTTCAATTGTGCCAAGACTTTTGAACAACCTTTTCACGTACCTTTTTATTATCGTTGTATACTTTGTCTTACGAATTTCATTCGCTTTCCCTGACTTCCTAAAAACTCTGAGGTTTTTAGGTTGTTTCAAAACCTGTTTAAACTATCCCGAACGAATTAAAGCCTTTTGAACGCCTTTATATACTGAGTGTCATGACATGGATCAGTCATCTCTAAATCTGCTGCCACAATTAATGATGCGGTTAATTACTTTGAAGATCATTAATTTGCGAGAAATCCCCACATGTGCTTGATGGATTAACTTGACATGTTAACCAAGATTTACTGAAGCGGGTTAATAGCAGCTATGATTTAATGTTTCTTATGCGCAACAATTGTAGAGCTCGTTAAGGAATGTGATGCATCCACCCTTTTATTGAGAGTGAATATTCGCATTTAATTTCAATAAATTTGACTCTATTTCTCATACGCACTCAGTGATTGTAATATATAATATCTTATGTTTATTTGTTGCAACTCTCGCATTAAACAATGATCAGCTTTTATATGAATCAGTATGTGCTAATAAGAAAATTTATAATAACATCACTTCGCCACACTTATTCACTCTGATGCCCGGGTGAAACGAAAAATTTTCCTCTATTGCATGGAAGAATTTTGTTTAACCTGTCCATTTTTTCTATTGCTGATGCCATCGCTAATAGCAGCGAGATAAAGCTGTAGCCAACGTATTTTTTATTGCCGAAGACTCGGTCGGTCGTAAACTAAAAGTGTTAATCATTCTGGCATTTTTCCAATCAACACTGAAGCTTCTCCTCTTCAGCTGTATAAAGTGTCAATGCGTTAATGGAATTACGTTAAGAGTGTATCGTGGCTTATACCATACATTCACCGCAATAATTGCTGTTCGTATATTATGAGCGTGTTGCTTCAGATTATATGCATTTTTACTGTTCTGAGGTAAAAGCGTTTCATGAATATGCCATTATTTATTTGAGCGTAGCCAAAGTATAACGAATAATGCTACATTTAATTAATAAACAATCATCTCAAGAGTGACTACTAAATTGAATGAACATGAATATGGACTATTCACTGTGAATCTACGTTCTGATATCATTTCCTTTTTTAACTATAGAAACATACTGAAAACTAAGGTACCGGATTAATTAAAATACTAAATAGTATCGTGTTTTATTTCATATTCAAGTTTCAACAACATGGTAGAATTGATCCTTCTATTGTATCCGGTGATCCGAGAACTGAAAGTTGACGCTTGTTATTACTTGTTTGATTGACCTGCGTAAACGTTGCCTGCTTGTGTAATGCTCTGCTGAAAAGTGTTCTATTATGCATCTCATCCGTGTGTATTTTCTGAATCCTAGATACGTTTCCCAATTATCCATTCAGGGAAGGTAACCGGCCCCAGTAAACGTTGCTCTGGCTGGAGCAGGAAAAAAGCTTGAATCTTTAGCTGTCAACTGTACAGTGATTCATCTAAGGAATCTTTCTGTTGATTGTTAGGCTTGAATTAGGTTTATGGCATTGAATTTAGTGTACTGTTAAAACCATAATAATATTATACTGTTTTTGAAGTTTAAAGTACCCCAAATCACTAATCAGAACTTACATTGATCATGTGATGTTTTCACACAATCGAGGAAGCTAAGTTAAAGAAATAACAATTCTAGAAACCTTTAATTTAAATTTCACCAAGAAAGTTTTGAAGTGCTGTTGGAGTTTTCTCGATGTGATTTCTCACTTAAGCTGTTAGGGAGTTTTCTCGATGTGACGTTTTTGTGCCATCAGAGGTTCAAAATGATCCGTTTCGTCTGCCGGATCCTAAAGTTGAATTTATTGCAAATTTTGCTAATGGTTAAAGGCCCGTAGCTGGTGATTCGTTAGAAAACAGTGTGACGAAAGTGTGACGTAAACAGTGTGACGTAAACAGGGTGACTAAAGTGTGCCGAAAAAAAAGGTGACGAAAGTGTGACGTAAACAGGGCGACGAAAGGGTGACGTAAACAGGGTGACGAAAGTGTGACGTAAACAGTGTGACGAAAGTGTGACGTAAACAGGGTGACGAAAGTGTGCTGAAAAAAAGTGACGAAAGTGTGACGAAAAAAGTAATGATAAGCCGGCCAGCCTCTGGATCGGGATAACTGGATACTGTGGAAGAAATGGGTTTTTGTTAAGAATAGTGTAACATAACGCGGGTAAAATATTCATATATAGGACACCTGATAACCGAGGTAATTTTAGAATTTAGAAAGAACCAACAAACCTGAGGCTTTATTGCCCAGGGCCCATACTTTCAAAACTCGCTAAGTGAACGCAAGTACTTATATACGCACTATTTTCTTGTCTATGATTGGTGGATTTGGCTTGAAATGCCGTCAATGATTGGCGGATGAACTTACGATCTCTTAACTTTTTTTGAAAGTATGGCCCCAGTTTGGTTGAACACTTTTAGTATAGGTAGAATTATTGAGGAAAATGGTGAAAATCAGTGGAAGAGGTGGGAACTTGGATGAGGAAAAATAGGAAGAATAGTAGGAGGTTTAACTATATTCAAAATTTAGAAATAGACTTAATCTTGATATTTAATAGCAGTGAACGTCGCGAGCACAGTAATAAATTACACACTATCAGAACGATTAACACTTAATTTGAAATTTTGATTAATTAAATATAGGCGTAGATATGATCGACGAGATAAATTGTTAAAATTATTTTTAGAGTTTGAGCATTAAACTAAGTCCAACTTCCCGCCTTTGGGATGAATGATTTAAATAGTGCAAAAAATAAAAAGAACGAAATTCAAACGTCATTCATTCAAAAAAAAAATTAGAGAAACGGTCACAGCAAGAGGTTAGAAGTATTTAAACTTGGGTGCCAATCAGTTGCCACACTGTTTGGTGATGACGTTTTCTGCGTGTATGCATGGGAGTATTTTTAAAATTTTAAAATTAAATCTTATTAGAATTAAAACAATGCATCGACATTCAAACAAAAAAAAATAGAGAAACAGGTTTACTGCAAGAGGTTAGAAATACTGAAACTTCGGTGCTAACCAGTTGCAGCACAGTTTGGTGATGACGTTTGCGGTTTAAGCGTGAGAGTATTTTAAAAATTAAATGCATCGACTCGGGCCGACTATCTAAGATATGCACTTGAGGTCAAATTATCTAATTATCTTATATTATCTATTATCTTGAGGTCAAATTATTAATTATTAGCCTTTGCTAAGTTTGGATGACTCATGAGACATGCTACAGAAACGCTGACTTAGAATACCTACTTATTCTACAAATTAAATCCAAAAAATTGAATTAACGAAGTTATAACCAAGAATCTATGTACAAATTTACGGTGAGAAATTATGAGTTTCTCACATCATGATTTCAAGTGATTTATTATAATGTGCCATGTTGCATAGGTAATTCATCTTATTGATTAAAACGATTCTTTTCTACTACATATATAAATTTTTAATATCGATATAAACATTAATATAATATATAAATATGATATATAATTTATATAATATATAAATTTTATATATAAATTCATAATTTCGATATAAACAGTAAATAAGAAAATGTTACGAATACAATTAATTACGTAGGCTTATATGTAATCGGGATAGCTTATTAACCATTGCAATTTATACTGGCTATGAGTTAGGCATGGCAAAGTCTTAATGGTTGGGAGAATCAAAGTTCATGCGATCAGTTGGTAACATCAATATATTATTTGAACCAGAAAAAATATTTTCATTATTGCGAAGAATCACCGTATTAGATTAAAATATATCTTTGAAGTTGAGAAAGGAACTATGATATTAACTGTTGCACACGTCTCGGACATGTCAGGATGGCCGAGTGGTCTAAGGCGCCAGACTCAAGGTAACTTGTCTCTCAAAGAGATATATGGGCGTTCTGGTCCTCTCTGAGGGCGTGGGTTCGAATCCCACTTCTGACAAACCTTTTTATCCGTGCACCCTGCCCGCGCGCCGCCCGTAGCAACGCGTTAGCTTATGGTCGTTCTGCGTGCGACGCAGGTTGCTATAGAAACACAGGCTCGCGTGGCTAATAGTCAACAAACCGTGCGCCGCTTAATCGAGAAAACGTTCCTAGTTTTGTTTTTACATATAGTTTGAACTAGTTTAGTCTCTTGAATTAATTACGTGTCTGCTATTTTTTGTTTAAATTGTTTATATCTTGAGACTCGAAGCCTGTAGGGTTATTTAATTGACTGGCAATCATGACTGGCACGTGGCGTTAATTGATAACATTAGCAATACACGGTGATTCACTCGATACACTGCCATTTGCTTTTGTAAGGAACTAAGAGGCAAGTTTCGGTGCTAGCGACTGGGATAAATTCTGAATAGATAATCTGTTTTGCTTAATCAATCTGTTTTGCTTAATCCAATCCAACTCTTACCATTAACTTTAATCAACTTCAAAAATGAGGAATAGTGACTATGTTCAAGAAATTTATTTTCAACGTTGAATTCATCATCTCCACACTGCAACTTTGGGCAAATCTTAGAAATGTGACTTGCTTATATCTATATTAACTTTGTTATTAGATTTTAAACGATTTATACGGAGGGGAGTGTGCATTGTTTCATACCCTTGTTGCTCTGTCTTGATTCACTTAAGGAAAAAATTAAATTAACAAAATACTCGCTTCGTGCACCTAACTCAAGCAATGAATCTTATAAATAAAAAACCGTTTAATCGTTAGATGTGAACTGACTTCTTCCCTTCACACCGAGAATGGTTTGTAGTAGCCTCCTATACAGACTAGACAAAGCTATGCAGGATCGAGCATATGTTCAGTCTTGAAATGCCTTGCACCTTATGGGCCTTGCAATAAGTCCAGCAACTACAGTAGATCTCAATCAATCGTCAGTTATGGAAAGATCGGGTTCAAACGGCTGGATCCCTTGTGAATAAAGTCACGAAAAGTACAAGAATCGGCAACAGGCCATATGGGCCTATTTCTTCAGTGCCGAGACTTCTATACTATCCTATTCTATTTTATTCTATTCTATCCCATTTTATTCTATTTTATTCCAATCTATTCTATTCTAGTCCATTCTATTCTATATACGCGCGCTCTAGCGCAGCGCCAAATACGGCAGCTCAGGCTTGCCAAGGTTGTTACCGTGTCCTCTTCGCTCGAGTGATCGTTTCCCCGATAGCGATTTGCGCCTTTGGTGTGACGTCAACGATCACTTGCTGGTGCTAAGCCATAAAATGTTTTTGCAGTTTGGGCTGCATTGTTTATTGTTCAACGTGTCCTCGATAATCACAAGCCTGAGATGGTATTTTACGTTGAAAACCACGACCGTGAATAGGAGGGCTCATTAATTTGATTCACTTCAGGTTTGACTAATTATTGGTTTGTATCTTGAAAACGTTTTTGAACTACACCTAAAAGGGTTTTTGTTAGATTTCTAAATTTTTGAGAATCGTAGTCTGAAACGAGGCGTTCGTTTTCAAACATACCAACGTATGTATGTTATGTATAACTTCTCCGTTTTTATGCCACTCATGCTAGGCAGCATATGCACGTTGATCATCGTCGCGAAGTATGTCATTCATGCCAGTCAGCATAGACACGCTATTCCTCCTTTCGAAGTATATATGCTACTCATGCTGGGCAGGATATATAGGAACGCTATTCCTTTTTAGCGCATTTTCTCATTTATGGAAAAATGCACTATTGTGCTCGCCATGTCCGTCTGTCTGTCTGTCCGTCCGTCCGTCTGTCTGTCCATCCGTGACCTCAAGTTTTAGCGCATTTTCTCATTTATGGAAAAATGCACTATTGTGCTCGCCATGTCCGTCTGTCTGTCTGTCCGTCTGTCCGTCCGTTCTTGACCTCAAGTTTTCGTCGACGAGAAAATGCGCTCTCTGTCACTCACTGCAGTGAGTACTGAGTTATATTTTTTCGATTTATGCCACTCATGCTGGGCAGCATTGGCACGCTATTCCTTTTTTCGAAGCATGCCACTCATGCTAGTCAGCGCATGCACAATATTCCTCCTCTCAAAGTATGTCACTCATGCTAAGCAGCGTAGGCACGCTATTCCTCCACTCAAAGTATACCACTCATGCTGGGCAGCGTATTAATGCTCTTCCTCCTCTCAAAGTATGCCTCTCATTTGCATGCTCAGAAGCGATTAGCCGCGGTGGCGTGAGCATGACAGAGTTCATGAAAGACAGAAGCTCGCGCGCTCATGCATTATTACCTAGATTAAATAGAGAGACAATGTCTTCTGGTCTCTTTTTCTCTTTGGCCTTATAGTATAGCGTGTTAAAGCTAATAAGTTTGTCTAAACTGCAAAATTAATTGCGATAGTTACTTTAATCTATTCTCCGTAAGTGTGTATAAGCGAAAAATTTTCTCGCAAATATCTTTTTTTCTTGTCGAGCTCGAATAATTTTTAGCTACGGTTCGCTGTGAGGAAATTGTTTTATTTGCCATACTTAATAAATAATCTGTACCATATGAACAGCGAACCTTTCTTACGATGCAATGTATTGTATGCCAAAACTGCAGCTTTTATTCTTATGAGAGATTTTTGGATAAGAAATATATTATAGTTAACTAATTGGTTGGTTATCGCCTGGCTGTTTCTCTAAAGGCCTGAGTGTAATCTAATAAATATGAGCTCATCGCAGACTGGGTTAAATCTGTGTCTATTTCACGCATTTTGTGTCGAGTCACAATTGAGAGTCACCCCTAGCTGTAGTGTATAGCAACTTGCAGTTTTAGCTCATGTGCTTCCTTTCATTATGCCTGCGTTTCATGTCTGTATATTAAAAACTTGAAAGTAGAGAAAACTTCACAAAAATACATACTATCTTTGTAGAAAACGATTTTTTATAAAGATACGTGTTCTATAAAGATACGATTTCTATAAAGATAATATGAATTTTGTGGAGTTTTCTTTGATTTTAAGTTGAATTTGAGATTCAAGCAAACGAGTGACATTATTACTGATGTCTGTGTATTATGAGCAAAATATTGTTTAATTAATTTTTATTATAACCAGTATTAGTATTCTAATCCACCTGTCAAAAAAAATTTAGTAGCAATTTCCGAGATAGCATTTAATTTTAGGAGGTAGATGGTTTAGCTCTGAGTTCAATGCTATTAATTATCCGATGTTTCAAAACGCTAATTGGTTCTGCTCCTATATATGAGTTGCTTTGGAGCTGCAATCTTTTAAACGTAGCCTGGTGAATAACATTCATTAAATGGTCAGATTAAAGTCCGTGGTCTCATCTTGACAAATCTTGAGACGATACATCTCATTATTTTTTGCCAACACTCTTCGTCACAAGGCATCCTTAGAAGTCTTATGTTCTGCGCCATCCATGCAAATGATGGCCTGATTTTTTATCATTATTTATCGTCCTTAAGCCAGGTTCTATCATAATTTTTTACCAACATCCTTCTCCTCCCAGGCCAGATACTGCCATCGTATTTACCAACATCCCTCTCCTCCCAGGCCAGATACTGCCATCATATTTACAACATCGCTCTCCTCCCAGGCCAGGTGCTGGCCCTCATCTATCTACATCGGACGCCGCGGCCCAACACTCGTACCGTCTTCTACGTGATGCTGTCGACGCTGCTGTGGACGGACCTCATCGGCAAAGTCCTCACCACGCCTGGGGCGCTCATCGCCTACGCCAACGGCCACTGGGGCGGAGGGGTAAGCAATCTAGGCTGTTTAAGCCTAAATAAACGGATAAATTAACCGTTGTATTGCTACTCGGGCTGCATTAATGGCCATTGAGGTTGAGGGGTAAGTAATCTAGGCTGTTTAAGCCTAAATAATTAAACGGATAAATTAACCGTTTTATTGCTACTCGGGCTGTGTTAATGGTTAAGGGATAAGCAATCAAATTCTTTTGACGTTGTATAGATTAGAATTGTCGGCAGTGAAGAAATAGGCCCATTGCCTGTTGCCGATTCTAATACTTATCGTGACTTGATTTCATAAGTGATCCGGCCTTTTGAACCCGATCTTTCCATAACTGACGATTGCTTGAGATAGCTGCTGGACTATCGAAAAATAGTTCAGAATATTTGTAATGCCGTCTGTCAATCAGTAACGGCATTTCAAGCTATACCCACCCCAATCACAGACAAGAAACCAACAGCCACGTGTAGATTTAAATAAATATGAATGCTTTTGCTCATATATATCTTTCTTCTTATACGTTTAGCAGACGCACACCGATATTTCCAACGCTGTTTTTCGTAATGTGCTGAAATTGTCTCACGGTTACTCGGTTTAAAAATGCAGTTCATGTTTGCTTAATGGAAAACACCTGCTTTACTATTAATGCGAGAACTAATCGCTGTAAAAGCATGGTTAACTCCCCAACTCGTACACTATATACATGAAAGCAACAGCTCCAGACCTCGGCTCCCGCACGCTGGGTTCCTTTTAACAAATTGCATGCGGCGGCGCACGCTATCTTTCCTTGTGAACTTTGCACGCTTCAACAGCGGTTGTTGCGGTGCGTTTATCTGGAAATTGTTTAATTCATGATTAACGTTATCATTCATAACTGACGTTATCATTCAAAACTGACGTTATCATTCATAATTGACGTTATCATCCATAGCTGACGTTATCATTCATAACTGACGTTATCATTCAAAACTGACGTTATCATTCATAATTGACGTTATCATCCATAGCTGACGTTATCATTCATAACTGTCGTTATCATTCATAACTGATGAGTCTGACGTTATCATTCATAACTGACGTTATCATTCATAACTGACGTTATCATTCATAATTGAAGTTATCATTCATAGCTGATGTTATCATTCATGACTGATATCATTCATAACTGACCTTATCTTTCATACTGACCTTATCATTCATAACTGACGTTATCATTCATAACTGACGTTATCATTCATAACTGACGTTCTCATTCATAACTGACGTTATCATTCATAATTGAAGTTATCATTCATAGCTGACGTTATCATTCATGACTGATATCATTCATAACTGACCTTATCTTTCATACTGACCTTATCATTCATAACTGACGTTATCATTCATAACTGACGTTCTCATTCATAACTAACGTTATCATTTATAACTGTCGTTATCATTCATAACTGACCTTATTGATAAAATTCTATTTCGTCTTAACGCCTTGCTTCGTCTGTTCTCATTAATATCAAGAGCTAAACTTGCATTTAATTTAACTTTTAATTAATTCTTATTAGCTATATTCGTTGCATTTTTAATCGTAACTACACCTTTCTTACTCTCATGCCATAACTTTGCCCTTTTTTATGAATTTTAATTGAACTACAATGTGTTCACCGTAAACATGTCCCATTTAGTAATAATAAATTTGTTTTTCAGAAATACCTACTGAGAATTTCGGCGAAAAAAACGTGTTGAATTGAAATATGTAGATTGAAAGAGAAAATATTCAAATAATATCTTGAAACATTGTTGAAATGGTTCATACTGAATACGTTGTTCAAGATAAGTCCAATATTCTAAACATATTGAAAAAAAAAATATTTTCATGCTGTTATTGGCGATTTATGTATTACGTTGTCTAGTAAATTTCACTCTTACAGTTGTTTATAAAGGCACTCTGGTAACACTAGCGGAGAAACTTGCCGAAATGTGTTCATTTAACTATGCGGAATTTATTTTTCCTCTACTATGCATTTTTCAGTTTATTTTCAATTAAGGAAATAAAATGATCCTAATACAATAAAATATGCAGTTCTTTTTTGTGTAATCGTTCTTACAACACCACATTAACATCGCAAATATGTCCGAACAATGCACGCGTTAACGAATTAGTGATTGCATCTTGGGGTTTTACCCAAAATTATTTCAGTTAAGTCAGTTGAGATTGCTTAAGTTGAACGTAGATAAGGATATTCGGATGTGTTGCCCTTGTGCTTAGGCTACGTGCGTATAACAGCACAATCTATCACTATAACACGGCTTCGTAATGACTTTTATCGGCATATTAACTCACTTTTCAGCGCAATCTGTGTCACTACCATGGCTTCGTAATGGCACTTATCGGCATGGTGACTCATTTGCTGGTGTGCGCGATGGCCATCGAACGCCTCCTCGGCATCCGGCACGGTTACTTCTACAACAAGAACGTCACCACATATCGCGTCAAGTGAGTGCGCGTGTCGTGATTCTTTAACTCTTTGTTGTCTCATATCGCGTCAAGTGAGTGCGCGTGTCGTGATTCTTTAACTCTTTGTTGTCTCATATCGCGTCAAGTGAGTGCGCGTGTCGCGACTCCCTGACTCTTTGTTGTCTCAAATGCCATTGTTGTGTTTTACTATGGTATTTATAGCAATTCTATGCATGGTTAATGATTATTTGAAATTAAAGTAAAGTAAACCATTAAAAACTCATTAAACTAGTAAAATTAAAATAAATTAACATGGCCGAACATGATAAAAAATTTAGGATTATTAAGAATAGAATAAGACATTTAAGTAACATGACAAGTTGATGACTTCTATCGAAACAATTATCACTGAATCCATCCATCTACTAAAATTCAATAGCCGATTCTTCTCTTTTAAACATCACCTCACCATTAGCAGCCTTCATAGTATGAAATTGATATTCAGTTGATATGTGGTTTTAAATTCTGAAATTTGCCGTAAACGAACAAATTAACGCACAAAAGGCGTTTTGGGCTCATTGGATGCGCATCTTTTGGACCTTTAAAATAATACTAAAAACCGGAAAAGCCACAATTTTATATTTTTGACCGAAACGGTCCCCTTAAATAACATCATAATTGATTTTTTGTTATGGAAGTTGTTTGTTTGAGCAGAACTCTGTTGACTGCGCTGTGGGGCTTCAGTGTTGTCTTGTGCTCTCTGCCGCTTTTCGGACTGGGGCGATTCGTACTGCAGTTCCCCGGCTCTTGGTGCTTCGTAGACTCGCACTTGTGCCCCGGTTCTGCGGTGCAACACAGCATCTTCACCTACACGTACGGCGCCATCAACCTTACCGCCCTCATCGTAATGGCGGTGTGCAACGTCATCGTCGTGGGTGAGACCAAGAACTAATTCACCTCTATGAAATAACTTTATTGAAATGAGCGATAGCCGCCTTTTCAGTCAGTATTGACATAGCTAGTGTAATAAGTTTAAGTTTATTCAAATGTACATGACGTTCAGATATACCATGTACTTTTATTTGAAAAGTCGCCCATAAGCTACACATTACCGAGAAAACAAACGTATAACTAAACCTCGAGTTTTCTTCCAGGTAATTTCATAATGTTTAATAAGATATGTGTCCGTAGTTATTATGTATGATTTTTCACTTTATTCACCGTCCCCTGCTTGAGTAAAACAATTCGTTGCTTGCTTTTATTCACTGTAACTACCTATTTTTCTACTTCTCACTTGAATGCTTAACTTCTTTTCAATTGATTTCTTAATCCTTTATTTCTTTTGCTTTTCGTAACTTCACTTCTTCATTCTTCACGTCACGTTGTCTTACTTACACGCACTTCACTTCATGTACAGCCTACTTCTTCGCGTCTCTTCTTCCTTTCACCCTTTTTACTTCATCTCTTCACGTCTCTCTTCTTCGCTTGACCTGCCATTTATCATACACGTTCGCCGCCACATCTCAAGTCTGCCTCCTACAGGGACGCTGCTGAAGATGCGTATGAGCCGCGCCGTGCCGGTCTTGCAGAGCAACGACGGCCTCCACTCCATCAGGAGCCACAAGCACAAGGAGCTCGAGATCCAAATGGTCTTTGTGCTGCTCGTCATCACCACTGTCTTTGTCATTTCTTGGGGGCCTCTAGATGTGAGTCTCCTTTTTAGTATCTTACTGATGCAAGAGATGTCTGGGTTTTAGTGTCTTACTTTTGTGTAAGGCCTCTGGGTTTTAGTGTATTACTTATGCAAGTGACCTCTAATGCAAGAGACCTCTGGACTTTAGTGTCATACTGATGCGTGTGACCTCTGATGCAAGAGACCTCTGGACTTAAGTGTCATACTGATGCGTATGACCTCTGATGCAAGAGACCTCTGGACTTAAGTGTCATACTGATGCGTGTGACCTCTGATGCAAGAGACCTCTGGACTTAAGTGTCATACTGATGCGTGTGACCTCTGATGCAAGAGACCTGTGACCTCTGATGCAGGAGACCTCTGGACTTTAGTGTCATACTGATGCCAGTGACCTCTGATGCAAGAGACCTCTGGATTACAGTGTCTTCTTGATGAGAGATACCTCGGAATATGAATAACTTTCGATGTAAAAGACCGCATGAATCAAGCAACATTTTGATGTCAGTCCTTTAGTTTACTTCGACCCTCAGTTGAGTGCGACTGCTCGATGTGAGTTACCTCGTGATTTGCGAAATGTTTGTTTCTTTTTGTAAAAGGCTGAGCTTTAATCTATTCATATCTTGATTATGCCGGCTTTATACTGTTCGTGTAAACGACGTCGTTAAATTTCGATAAGAAATTCAAGAATGAATCGCACAAAATTCAAGAACAAATAATCCATCCTGATGCAATATCATGAATGAATAATTCCTCCTGAAATATGCCTTCTGGCTAATCCTGGTTGTACATCTTAAGTGGACCTCATGAATTAAAATTTAACTTGAATTTCAAAGAATACAATCCTATACTTTTATATATTCGTGGCTATAGATGAACGTTTTCAGCTGATTATTTCCCGTAAATAACTAACAAGAAAATGTAATTTGACGATCACATACAGTACAAGCAGCAAGAGTTGTTAACGAGTTTTGATAACGTATGTATTTGGTAGCTATCCTCGTTTTTGCGAGCCCATGACTTGTTCATATAAAGAGCTACCTGCATTTGTGTCTGCTATTAATAAAACCATAATGATTGATCAACAACTAAACGGCATAGCATCGTGCAGATCCTGCTCTTCGCGAACAGCATCTGGCGTCACTCTGAGCTCAAGGACCACTGGGTTGACTTGGTCGCCATCAGACTCGTGTCGGTCAACCAGATCGTCAACCCTTGGGCCTACATCATCTGCCGCGTCGTAAGTGATGTTAAATATTTTATGACATTCCAGGATGGTTTTCTATTTAAGCAATGACTTTGCATGTTTTTTTTAACTCAAAACCTGATTTATCTGTTAGATTGCGTTCGTATTTTTTATGAACTGCTGCGTCTTGAGTTCACCATTTGATGGTAAATATTTTATTTTCTTTCCAAGTTGGTTTTCTATTTAAGGAGAGACTTGGCATGTTTTTTTTCATTTAAATGCGCTTAAAAGTTTGGTACAACCTCTAAACCAGATTTACCTGTTAGATTGCGCTCGTAATTTTTTTCTGCGAACTACAGCGTTCTTCCACAATTATGGTTATGTACTTCTTATCTTATAGATGAGAGATTTTTCTGGCCAACCTTTAGGAACTCCATAGGCTTTCTTTTTACTTTGAGCAATATTTTTGTCTTCAAATTCATTCCACAGAAAATTATTACTACAATTTCTTCAACATCGTTTTCCGTGTCAAACTTCTGTTCTCCTCTTGAATTTAAATTTAATTTTTTTTCTGAAAATCATTATAATTTTATTCAGGCGTATCGCTCGAAGCTGTGCCAGTGCTGCCGCCACGCCTTCATAGGGAGGAGGTTATCACTGATGGAGGAAGGGAAGCACTCCTTCGCTAACTCCCTCAGATCCCTCAGGAAATTGTCTAGAGGCGGTCGTGAAGATTCCTTCCATTTTGACCACAGGAAAGGTAACTTCCTGGCTGATGATTAAATTTTCCTTTGAGTATGATTTCCAAACTTTGTTCCTCTGGACATATTTGAAGGAATTTATATCGAACTAGGGAGTGTATTTGTTAATATAACTGACAATTTATTCTTATGATTTCGTTTATTTTAATAAATAGTCGCTGTGTGCTGGGTAAATCCACAACTTTCCTGTGGCAACCTTCAATTCGTATAATTGAGTCTGACAAATATCTTAAAATTTGCTGCTTCATTATTTGCAAGATCTTAGCTTTATTATCAAGTGATATTTCTTTGTGTAAAGTTTCTAGTAATTATTATTTTCCAATAAATACTTTATGTTTCATGGTCAAATCATTTGCCAGGACATCGTTTGTCGGGAAATAGCCCCACTTCTTGCGGCGAGACGCGGCGGACTCGAGACTCTACGACCACCACCAAGTGCCTCGAGACGCTCTGTGAAGGCCGGCATAAAGACCAGCCGACGAGGAAGACGAGTCCTGTAGCCTACCGCGTGATCGGCCACGTAAATGATGAAAATCACAAACAAGACGTCATTTTGGACACAAAGCCCGAGGTGACCGAAAGAAAGGACTCCACTCTCGGGTACCATCAGCCCTCTCGGCCGTTCGACGCCGAAGAGGTCTACGGAAGTGAAGTGTTTCGCCCACTGGCGCAGGCGGATAACTTGAAACTCAATTCTGACATTCATCTTCCAGTGAAACGATTGTCTGATGCCAAGGAAGAAAGGAAGATTGGCTTCGGGAACCTGCTCCTTCATCCACTCGGCCGGGTTATGACCAATCGATCTTTTCAAAAGTTTAAACTGGATTCAGGTTAGTGCTTTAGCAGACGACTGAATGAGTTGAGAACGTCAACTCCGAGTGCACGGTATGAACTATTCAAGTAACTATTTTTAGTAGAACACTTATTTTATTTTCAATTCATTCCTGCTCCAATTGAAGCTGAGCCATATAAAAACATTTATTATATTCTTCTCAGTAATTCTCCAAGCACAGCTTTGGAAACTCGATCACTTCCTTATATTTCCAGACCTTCATGATCCCTGCAAACGAACCCAGTCCCTGGACGGTTCTCCTGGGCAACTCCTGCTGGTGGTGCCCATAGAGACTCGCTGCTGCAGCACCAGCTCTGTGATGCAGCTGACCCCTGACCCCACCACATCTGCACCATCTTTCTCGCGATGTAATCACTCTGGTCAACTCGTGGTGTCGAACGACGGCACCGTTATTTGCGTCCAAAAAGAAAACGATGATAAAAGTGCCCTGCAATTCACTGACCGAGACATTTTCTATATTGATGATCCCGGAAAGTTACATGACACCAAACCTTCGCACAAGAATGATGCTTGCGAGGTAGCTGCTCAATTGGCGCATGATTGAGATCATGCGAAAATTGACTTATCGATCCTACCGACATTTGGTCCTTCATCGCACAATGATCCTGATCAACCTGAACTTGTATAATCATCCAGACGAATGTCCTGAAAATAGTGAACACAAACATACCACTTATGATTACCGGTGAGATCCTGTAGAAGTTAACACTCAACCCAAGAAGCAACACTGAAATAAGAAGAAAACATTGCCGAGGTACGAGAAATTTATGGCGTTAGCTGTTCGGACTTAAATTTCCCAATTGAAGACTCAGAATGAGATACAGCCTGTATGGGATCTGCCATAATGCGATACAGCCATTATGGGATCAGCCATAATCCGATACAGCCTTTATGGGATCAGCCATAATACGATACTACCAAGCATGTTCCCATAGGTACTTTTTTCGGCCATTATCACATTATTCAATATATTAAAGTCTCTGCGACTAAAAAATAATAGGTTGACTATTTTTAATGTTCTTCACCTCCTGTAACGTTGGAGCAACACTAAGTCTTAATCTCTGAATTACTTGCTATTCTGTAGACGCTAGCGCCCCTGCAGAACACTAGCGATTAGAGGCGTTACCTTGTTTGTTGATACGAGTACAATGTAATTCCTACCAGAATTTATTACAACAATTTTCACCAAAATATATTTCAATCGAGTCCGTAATTTTCTGTAATACTTTACTCGAGATACTAACATGTATTTTTTTTTTATCCGGTTTATATTGAAATATATCATTTTTATTCCTAAATAGAAACAATTTTTTACTTTTCAACAAAGCGACCTATTTGGACCGGGACGGTAATTATGTTAAATAAAGCCAATGCATTTGTTATTTTACTATAATCTAAGTTTGGTAAGAAACGTGTACAAATATAGTTAATAAATTACGTTAAGTTATTAAGTTACATTTGGCAATTTTTTAATTCCATATATCGTGTTCATTGAACACAGAAGAATATGTTTGACTAATGAGAAAATTATTTTTACATGTTTGTCAGCAATTTTTGCTGTTTTCAATATCTTCTGGTCTTGCTTGGTTAATTAAAAACATACTCATTACATTGTAAGTTGTTTGTGTGGTGCCAAAAAACCATTGACAGTTTCCAGTTCATATCAAAGTGAACACTTCGATTTATAAAGCTTCCGGTCTACGCGGATGATGTCTAATAAAACCCACATTTCTCTATAGTCTTGTCGGTATTAATCAAAGCTTTATGTTAAAATACCATGTAGTAATAGTATAAATCTTGTCGAGCGAGCAGTCATATATGAGGCCTGCCTTGCCACTCTTGTTACTTATCATGTTTTTAAATGATTGATTAAAGTCGAACTTAAGCCAGCAAACTTAACCTTAATCAAGCATACTTTATTGTTCAATGTGAGCCTAATATTTTACAAGAGCTTTAAATGTTCTGAAATGTTCTGTATCTCTTTAAATTTAAGCGAAAAAACTTTGCTACATGAATCAAATATTTTTTATTATTCAGTGCGAGCATATTAATTGTAAACGAGCTTTAAATGTCAATCAAATATTTGCAGTAAGTTTTTAATCAATGAGCGTTATCTATTAAATCATGCTCGACGTATTTCGGCTAAGATGAAAGCTAAGGTCTATTCTTTCTGTGCGTTGAACTTCTTGTATAATGAGTATCATCTTATACAACTTGAATACTTTCATTATAAAGTTACTTTTTTGCGTTTGGAAAACTGATTTGTTACTATTTTTATGACCTGTCTTATGTCAAATTTTGTTGACAATCAGAAGAAAACTTTTACAAATTCCGTGCCGTCGTGGAAAACAAACTGGAGTTGAAATGAGGCAAGTTGAATTTTTTACAGTATTTTTTGATTTTCAACGACTTTCTCCTAATTTGTATATTTTAGTTGAATACTTTGAATGCATTCATTTGCATACGTACAAACTGCAGAAGAATCTTGCAATGGCTCTTACAAACTGATCATAAACTCAATATAGATGCCCTAGTTTACCAACAAACGGAGAAAGTTTATTCATTTTGGGCAATCCATAAGTTCATAATCTTATTATGTTCGCTGATTAAACTTACTACCAACTCTTGTAACGCATTCAAAATGTCAATGTTCGTTAGCACGAAACTCAAAGTTTTTATCTTGTAACTTACGATCATCTTAAGCTTTTTGAGAATTTGTTTGTACAGGCTAAAAAAATGTGTGATATATACAGTATGTTAAACATACGCGCAACTTTTCATGATCGTATTTGATTTAGTCATGGCTCCATATATTCGCATTAACTTCATTACAACTGTGACGCTTGCAGTATCTATGATATTTTATCTTGTTGTTACGGTGATCACAAGCTGTACGACCATCGTGGAATTTAATCTTACATCTTCGAATAAATGAAATTTGTTCGATAAGCGATAGTTATTTTTGACGAAGTAAGTGTGCCGTCAATCGCTTCTGATTGATTTGGACGCACATGAGTACATTGTACGTCATGCATATTGTCATACGTAATGTGCAAAAGTGAAACGATTGCTAAATCAATATATTTTTTGTGAAATAATGTATGAACAACTTCATAAATGTCTTTGGCTTGTTTGTCATGGATGCCAAACTTGATTGTCGTTCAGAATATTAATCCCTAATTTAAGAACCTTCTAGTCATTTATACTTATATTCATGTCGTGTTTTTGCTAGCAGTGTGTTTCAAGTAGATTAAATTGTTTCTTCCGAAATTGTACGTGAATTTTCAAAAATAAGACTCCATCTGGTGTTAATCACAAATTTTAATATCTAATGCTTACTACATTTTGATATATATTGAAAAATATATTTGAGTTGAGATATACAGAGATGTCGCCGTTTTTTACAGGCGATTTTTGTACTCATTTCTTTACTTAGTGACAATTATCGGCTAGGCTTTCAAATCATACTTCAAAACTGTACTCTACCGAAATCAGATATAAACCATTTTACCATAAATTCTGTGTTGCACTTTGTCTGAAATCCGAAAAAATCTTACCTTGAATGGGGATTCAAAGTTTTCGATTGTTTACTAACGAGCACCTCTGACTTATATATCTGTATGAGCTGCTGATTCTATATAAGAGCAATGTTACCGCTAAGAATTTATCAGTGTCAGTGTCTTTTTGTTCTAATGTACTCAATCCTCGATGTTGATCCGCTGATATATGTTGCCTTGCTGTATGAAAACTTCATAAGACATATTTGAACGACGTTTTTTCCTTATGTCCTATGCGGTCTACAGCTTGTTTATTAATGGTTCACAACTTAAGCGAATGAAGTCGTAAAATTGCAAGAATCCGCGATCAATGTTATTTTCTTTCAGGACTTCATTCGGGTAGAGTTGGCGGTGGAAAGTATTAATTTTTTACGAAACTACTTGGCGTGGTCAGATCCTTGTCGAGTATTTGAACATTCCTGGTATCGCCTTGTGATGTCAATTTCAAGATGATGGATAACTATCACTCATTTCTGTTGGGTCTCTAACTCTAAGAATTTCATAGCAATTTCACGCTATTGTGATATTTATATTTGGACGAAATTAACTTTAATAGCAACTCTTCTTTAAACTTTTGGACAAGCGCATCTGATATATAAAACGAATGGTCAGAATGACGATCGAAGAATGTGAGCAAAAAGTATTATTGTCGGCTATAATTTTCAAGAAGCATCTTATTAAGGCTTTACTTCCCAACTAGCTCAAAATCGAATACTTTCAATCGGTTCTTTATGATATTTTCTTCTGATGAATGGGATGGCACATATATGTGTCACTGAGTAGTTATTTGTGTCACCAGCAAACTTCGTTAGTTAATTCCACTGCTTCACTGGGACCCAGCCTCGGTTGCTCTATACATTGCCTATGACAGGCTGACATTTTGCAAGTTTGCATCTGCATTATTGTGTGCAAATGATCGGGTCTGATATGTCGAAAAAATTAAAATGGAAAAAAATTTAAGTTTTCAGTTGGATTGCCTGCATACATGTTCATTAATCATGCACCACACCAAGCAATGAATTCATAGTGTATCGAATTGGATATCTATTTTATCCCATGGATGTCGCCGTCTCGTCTGATCCTTGCCATGAGCAATCTTCCAATTTCAAAGAACGACATGGCATCAAGGTACACGTCTACTTGATCACACGCTGATAAAATCTCACCCTATTTTTATGCATGTTATACTGTATAAGCTACAGTCACAGTGCAGCAAATCTCAGCTGTGTTGGCAGCGAAGGTGTCGGGAAAATTTCCCAACCTGTCTTCTGAAACCCTGTGACAAAGAAGCAGTGCTGGCTCGTTTATAAAAAACCGAACCGTATATAAAAATCTAGTCCCCAGCATTTGAATAAACATTTTACTCTCGCATGCCTAAAAATTACTGCTGATGTTGCGCCATAGTTTTCATGTTATTCCCATTCCCGTAACTTCGATTTTTGTTCTACCAAATCATTAATGAATTACTTCATTATGTTGGGGTGCATGCGTGTTTTCATGCCTTTTTGGGGACGCCTGTCGGTGACCACCACTGCCGTGCTTCGAATGGACTATCATGATGCCTTCCCTGAAGAACGTAGCCTATAACACATCTTGACTGTAACATTATCAGCCGCACGCCACCAGACAGATCACATCCATTGAATTAGACCAATCAGCCAACAGGAAAATAAGCCTGGCGTCGTATGGCCCAGCGTCGTCTGCCAACACGCGAAAAAATTTTACACCACCCGGACGGAGCGCGCCGGAGCCGTCCGTATCTGTCCCGTGTGTCGAACCAGCCCACGCTCGAACGGCCACGCGTCGTACGACGATAAATTTTGGAACAGAACTATGCTATCTGGAACCTAACCCCAGATGCTGTGAGCTAAAAGTTACGTAATTTAGCAAAGCTGTAGAAGTCGCTCGTCGAAGGATGATAGATTTTGGAACAGAACTATGCTTTCTGAAACCTAACCCCAATGCTGTGAGCTAAAAGTGACGGTCTGGTGGTGCACGGCAGGATGCACACAGTTCCACTGGCGACCTGGGCTGGTTGGTCACAGTCTGTTGTCCGCAAGTTACAATTCGAGCTAAAGTCAGGGTATGAAGTGATGATTCGATGCAACGTTCAGTGGTGCATAACCATTACTTTCTGGGCTATTCGCTTATGGCTTAATCCGCGGCTGATTGGTGGTCATCCGGAAATATGCTAGGCGTTCCTTTCAAGGCTGATTGGTGCACAAATTTTGTGGTGCACGGCTGCGTACCCAAACCAGCCCTCGGTCGAACGGCTACTTGTCGAAGGACGATAAATTTTGGAACAGAACTATGCTATCTGAAACCTAACCTCAGATGCGGTGAACGTAAAATTACGTAATTTAACGATGCCCGGAAGTCAGATTCGATCCGCGGCAACAACACGTATAGAATCTCTGCACCCTAATGACCAGCCGTGCACCACAGGCACCTTGACGTAGAAATAAATATAGAAAGTTTACCATTCATCTTCTCGAGCAACGATGAGGGAAAATTTATTCAACGACACACTCCATGAGCAATAAAAAATACTTTCTATATTTATTTCTACGTCAAGGTGCCTGTGGTGCACGGCTGGTGGTGGTCAAGGCCGGAAGAGGACAAAGCCGAGTGGTGCACGTCTGATTGGTGTAGGTCCGGAGAGATCCAAGGCGTTCGACTCAGGGCTTATTGGTGCACAAAATTGGTGGTGCACGGCTGCGCTCCCTCTCGAATGCAAGTTCCCGCAATGGATTCCAAATTAAGGTAAATTTTTTTTTTCAAAGAAATATTTCGATATACGCTTCTTAGTCTGTACTATTAATCACTCCTACACTTTTGGATACTTTAATTTTGATTGGTAGGTCACTCTTTAACATATATTACTCCTTAAATCTAACTTAATTGCCGAAGTGTCCGAGCCTGTAACTATGGAGACTATCAAATTTCGGAGCTGTGGCGCCCCTCTTAATTCTTTATCTATCGCGGTTTTCAAATACTTTAAGAGTAGCCGCGTCTAAATACTGTGTTTTATACATACTTCTTTTTTTTTTTTGTCCACTTTCTGAGAACTTTGTTCTTCACCATTCGCCTCTCGTCCGGACGGGCAGCAGGTGTAAACATGCTTGCTATCCCGCAAGTTTATCTTGCCTGTGAATCACACCATTGTGGATGTGCACTTATTTCTGGTTAAATAATGTGAGCATGGTTCTTGAGTTTAATTTTTAATATTTGGGATTATTAAATACTTGACCAATGATCGCTCGTCCGTGCAATCGTAAATTCATTTTTCGTCCAATGTACATTCATGATTTCAGGTTCCTCGTGTTTTCTTGGCAAAAGTGCATTTTTAATAATTTAGTTTGGCTGTAATTTGTTTACCCGGGTATTTTAGCATGATTTATAATTTAAATTTATTCCTTATACAATATAAATTTATCCAATCCTGTGACTGGCCGGCCTCACTTTATTTCTACGTCGCATTCGTCGCTTTCGCATTCGTCACGTGTTCACGTGTTGTTGCAACCATCCACCTTCAACTTCTTTTGAACCGCATTCTGAATTTTGGGATTTGGCTCTTTACCATCAAACTTTGTCTGCATTACAAGGAAGAAAATTCTATTCAAATAAATTGCAAAACTTTGCTGAATAAATTACAATAAAAGCTTTCTTGATTATTTCTTCGATTAACACCCTGTCGATTGTGTGAAAACCTCGCACATTTTCTCCTATACAATCAGAACAAACTCTTAAATACTTATTAAAGACTTCCCAATAGTCATACTAACGTTAAAAATTACGTTCATTGTTTTTTTACATCGGAGGGAAGTGCAGATCGAAGCCATAATGGACCAAGAAATTCGAAGCTTAAGTTAAGGTAGCTCCGAGTATTCGCTGCGAGTTTTGACACTCCCAGTATTCCCGGCTGAAAGCCTATGCACGAGGAGATTATTTGGTAACTAGTCCGCAGGTGCCAGTGCGTAGTTGGAAGACGTCGAGTCGTGGTTGAACTAGTATATAAGGTTAACCCACGAGATGCTCATTTTTGTGGATGTAGTTCGTTGTTCGCCTGTGACGTCACTGATTTCAGTGATGTCGCGGGCATAAACCAATCATCGAAATGCGATCAAACCAGTCAGCCAATCCGTCATGGGAATGACGGGATTGTTTACGTTTCTCGATCTCAGTGACGTAACAAGAAAGCTGAACTGAAAGACGGAAATCCTCGTGGCTCAACATTATATAGTTCAACCATGCCGTCGAGTGATGTCCAAGCATGGTGGAATATGGACGGTAAATGACGAGTTTGAGGCGTTCGGTAGGTGGTATAAGTTGCAACTCTTGCTGAGGTGGTAAAAAATGCTTTAGATGAGAGTAGAGTGTGGGTGAGAGACCTAATTAATAAGGTCTCGTTGAAGTTTTAAAACACTACTTTCTCAATTACTTTTTATTGGAATATTCGTCGTGCATGCACATGTGGAATATCAATCGTAACACTTCAATATCGTCTGAACACCTCTTGACGTTTTTTAGAACCGTCGTCGTTGAGATGGGCACCACAGCTGCCGCAGCTCTAGCTGTACTACCAATATAATAGACCGCATATAAACAACCTGAATTGCTTCAGACGCAAACGCATCAGCTACTCCCATCTGAAGAATAAATCATCACAATATTTGAAGTGCGAACACTCTTAGCTAATTCTAGCCCCGTGTATAAGCCCCTTAAGGCTTGAAAGGTAGCCTCTAAGCAGCTTGCAATCTCGGCATGCATGACTCGGCTCGCCTTACCCTTCTATATCTCAAACGACTATAAAGTCGGAATGGAGAATAACTTTAGGCCGATTGTAGTGTTAGGGTTTTTATTGAAGACATTTTTTGAAATTTTAGGTTTAGAGACGATCTTACTGTTCACGTCCGCACTCTAGGAAGGAACGCTGCTCTAGTTATTGTTTGGTGCGGAGACGTGACGGAGGTACGTGTCTTGTACTAGTGAAGGATTTTAAGTGTGACTATCGTGTATATATTGTGAATAGATTTAATTAGAATACTGTGCTCATATGATCTTTGTTGTAAATATTTATCATTCGTAGGAACCTTGTTATCTTTAGCATTTTTATTGATTAGTTTTTTGTTTGTTTTCAGGAAAGTTTAGGGCTTGAACTTGAAACATTAAATAAGGAATACAAGTGGAGTTTGAATTCCCTTGGAACACGAACAAAAGGGTGGATTGGAATTACGATCATGAGCCGTATTTAACGCTGATGCTTGGGCCTAGTTTGCATTTAGAGTGAGCCCACAGCAGTAGCGACTACTGTGCAGAAACCTATGTAGTACCCGAATTTTGTTACGGTTATAACTTCCGAAATTTTAAGTTTAACGATTGAAATACCAGCTTCTTCAGCTTATATTCATTCCGTTTTAAATTAAATGAGATTCACAAACTAATACACTGTGGCTTCCGTATTTGTTCTTCCATGTTATGAACTTTGAATTTTATTTTTCGTATAATAACTTATCGCTTAATGGGCTTCCATCACACATGGTGTGCACTCCAATTAAAAAAAAATCATATTCGAGCTTTTATAGTAAAGTTTGTATAAAGTTTGTATTGTATTTGTAAAGTTTGTTTGTGTTATAGTAAAGTTGCATTCTTACATAATAGCTTTAGAGTGTAGAATATACATCCCAGAAACTGCGAGGGGTAGTATAACTCGTGAATAATGCATGCAAAGGGATAAGTGAATATTAAATGCATCCTACCATCCTCTTCCTGAATCTGTATTTTATGGGGAAGAGACGAGAGTGAAACTCGATTGTAAAAAATCCATAAACCAAAGATTAAAACACGCCACACACATAATCAAAGAAATTACTAATTCAAAATTGCAACAATTACAATTTTGTGCTCAGCAATCCATCTAAGCGGAAATGAATGGGTTAATGGGTTACGGAAGAACAAAGGTCTTCTGATACTCAGTTGACAGTTCGTCTTCTTCTGGCTCATTTCAATGTTCTTCCGTGACATCACGCATGCGCTGTGCGTAAAGCATCGATGAGACATCTGAATAGTTGGTCGAACTGAAACAGGAAACATGAGGCATCAGTGATGAACATTTACGAAAATTATATGGTCTCTTTTGTTTGCAGCAGTGGTGTGACATCGTTGAAATTCAATACGAGGTATTTTCTTTCATTGTTCGAACTATCCGCAGCCGCAGGTAATTTTTCCTTGTAACTCGAACATTTGAGCAATACATATTTTAAAATGTTGCATTTGTTTCTAAATTGAATAGATGAGCATATGCTTTTACTTACGTTCAAATATTTCATGGTAGAGTTCTTGCATGTCGGGTAGGCGGCTATGAACGTGGCATCAGCGCTGCAGTTCTTCAACATGGCTTTGAAGGCCGCGTCGTCGAACGTGTTGTCTGCCTTCAGCTGGAGAACAGGAGGTGGAGATATGGAGGATATATGGTAAGTGCAGTTTGGATTTATACTATATTTGCTCGGTGAAAAATTTCATTAAGGGGACCGACCTAGCAAACGGAAAACTTCTACAGTTATTATCCGATTGTCATGAAACTTCACATACATACGTAAAATGTAAAAAAAAAACATTTTGCTCCTATGAATTTTTCGAAAAAATTGATAGAAAACGGCTAAAAAGGGGTACTTCAGAAAATCTATCTCATCCCACAAATATCATCCTACAACATCGAGACACGTATCATTTGATTCGTAAAGACCATATCTATCGACTCTAACATCACTTTTTTCATTTTCCACCTAGTTTTTTTTATGACGTTTTTTCCCATTTTTTACATTTTTCACAGCAAGAAAACAACCTTTAAGATGAGATAAGAAACAGAAAAACTCAAAATATTCAAATTTTAGCTAGGTCGGTCCCCTTAACATAAAATGAGATCGGAAAAGGTAACACAAGCTTATCTAATCTTCCATTTTTCGATGTTTCGTGTGAGCTGTTGCGCAGAAATGTAAGAGCATCATTGAGAATGATGCAAGGAGAAATTTTTGAACATGGAAGCAATACCGAATTGGAAAATGTCTTCCCGCTGTCTCGACCCACTGGCCAGGTCTGTGTGCCCCACCAGTGGGTAACGCCCAATACTTTGTGACTGACATTAACCTTTAAAAAATCGGTCCTATACATCAGACATAAAAACTGCTGAGCGTGTGTGTTGCGAATATGAGATCAGAATTTTTGAGCTGTGTTGTCCAGTCATGAACATAGGCGCCAAATGTACAGTCACACTCACAAGTCCTTCACTCGATACTCAATCAGTCAATGTACCGTAATAATCACAAGTCCTGTGCTCCATGCTCAGTATTATGCTTTACTCACAAGTTTGGCTGCTTTCAGTGCGCACTTCATGTAGTTGGCAGCAATTGGATCACATGTGGCCGCGTCGTACAAATAAACGGTATTGCATTTTGGGTCTGGGGAGAAACGGAGCAGTCGTTTATGGTGTGTTGGAGGCATCAAATTGCGAAACAACGCATAGGAGTGAAACAATGCAGGGATGTTCGGTAACTCAACCAGAATCATTTTAAAATCAATAGGCATTCATGGAAGAAAAGTTCTTGTCCTGCACTTGTCCATATAGGCAAGATGCATGTTTGATTCGTACACTAAGAGTATCTTCACATTGAAATTTAGATATTTTAGTGTTTGATCACGTTGCCAGATGGTATATTTCTATACCAGATTTCGCAAATCTGGTATTTTCAGAAGGTGTCTGGTATGAATATTTCAGATCTGGTATATTTGGCTAAATCTGGTATTTTTCTGGTATTTTCTGACTACCTGCAGATTTACTGCATTAATTAAGTTCCACCTCTGAAGTTTGAACTTCCTCCAGCGTTGGCGTGGATTATATAGATTACCTTCAGAGCGGCGCGACTAGAGGTTTCCCGCCATTTTTGGAACCGCAAGTTTACCGCTCGATGAAATAACCCCAATCTAATTGTTAACATTTAACATAAGTGATTAGTGCAATATAAGCACGAGAGTGATGATCATTGATTGATTACTGATCAGTGATGATATGACCTAGGACGAATGAGGTTGTCGAACCGACCTCGCCACGCAAGCTCCAAAATTTTTGTTTGGTGGTTTTGAATTCTAGTGTGCCACTTATTGGGGTGCCACTTGAATTCTGGGGTGCCATTCAATATATTTCCCTAATCTTATAAGTCTTCATCTATTCATAGTACTGGCTACCTACTGCATCACTTGTCTATTTTGACCTGTCTCCAAGACATTCGTTTAGCGAGTGTTTTCATCACAAGTCACCATGTGAAAAACAAGCAACAAAATAAAATTTCAACAATGGTAGTTGAGTCCCTTATTCGGTCCAAAAGCTATCTGCTCAGCCGCAACAAGTGATCAAACCCAAAATGTTAGATACCTAAATGCAATATGCAAGCATGTACGAAAATAAGCAAAAGGAAGATGACCCGTTTCCGTGGCTTGCTCATGTTGAGCGAAGAGAGAGAAGGGCGACATTGTGATAAAAAAAAGGAAAAAGTGACAATGTAATCAAACACAAGGAAAATAAAAGTGTCAAAATGTTCCAAACAGAGGGAAAAAACATAACGTGTTCAATTTGGCTAATTATCTTCAAGATAGATAAATACACAGTACATATGATGAATTTTTGTCTTCTTATAACCAACGTTTCTGACGAATAACTTCTTCAAATTTGGAGGTAATAGTCTGTTTCTGAACAATAGAATTTCTGGTATATTTCTGGTATTTTGAGCTAGGCAATCTGGTATTCTCGCCGAGAAAAAACCTGGCAACACTGGTCACTCACTCACTTTGATGAGAAGTTTTATAGTAACGATGGTTTTATGTGGAAGTAAAATAGTTCGTATTAATTATTTTAACACTTACTCGCCATATATTTCGCATTATCCGCAGCGTACTGTGAATTGCAAACAGGGTACGCCGCGTTCACCACAGTAGTTTCGAAATCCGGGAGCGCCGACCAGCAAGCCGAAATGGCGCTGGAATTAATCCACAAATTAAATAGGTACGCCACTTACATAATCAATCATATTCTTTTATCTCAGCGAGGACCAAATCTTACAGCAGTTCACGAATTGTATTATTCAAGTGAATAAGATCCCCTTAAATGCTACTCTTGCCTGAAGCAAACAAAATTTGTTGTCATTCTTCTACAGAAGGGCAATTTTCTTCAAATCTATCATGATTAGCAAACTTGTCGCCTACGTAGGGTTGCAAGTGATTACAGTTCGGAATACCAAAACGGAAGCTGTGAGTTGCATGCATGTATGAGACCCACTGCAAGCTGTGAATGTTCTACATTGTAAAGAATCGGCGAGAGGTCTAATGGCCTAACAAACGTTGACGCGGCTTTTACTATTGCTTTTTCTATCCGATTATTGTCAGACAAGCATCGAATGCCGTAAATCATTCTGATTTTATTTTTGCAGTGTTTTAAAACATGGTTTATCATTTAGTATTAGTTGATTACTGGCATTTTCACGTCGCTTTCTACATAGAATATTTAGGATCGTGTTTCATGCTCAAGCTCAAGTATTGATGCTGTGATCTTATGAACCAAAGCGTCGCAAATATAAAAAGGTACCGTACTGCCCTAGTAATCATAAGAAACCTGAAAATAAATATCAGTGGCATTTAACATGAAATATCGTCGCAAAGAAACTTCAACATTTTCCGCTTGGTTAGTGTTACCAAAACCACTCATGGCCCTCTGAAGACGTGTTACTTACGCCTGCGCCGACGCTGTTGTCGCGGCGACGATGAGAAGCACGAGACCTCGCGACATCTTGCGGGCTGTGATCAGGGACTGGACGACACTCGACAGGGTCTGCGGGCAGTTCAAAGGCTCTTGGTGCTGGGACTTCTGCGGAACGACAGGGTATGCGGGCAGTTCAAAGGCTCCTGCTGCTGGGACTGCTGCGGAAAGACAGGGTCTGCGGGCTGTTCAAAGGTTCTTGCTGCTCTCTTACGTTTTTGGTGCGCGGCTCTGAACTTATTGGCCTTTGATTTGTTGGTCCAGGTGTAATCCAAATGTAAGCAGCCGCCCACGCACCTGTTTGATTAATGATTTTGATTCTGCTAGTGCACGAAGGTTGGACGTCACATGAGTTTTTTTGCTTATAAAAGTTTCACTCTATTACTATTACTTACTCTTTTGCAGTAGAATCGTGACAACCATGGTCGGCGAAACATGAAAATGTTCCTTGATTATGAAGATACTCAGGCTGAATATTCTATATGTCCGTTTGTCTGAATCATAGAGCTTTGTATATGTTATTAACCTTAACTTACTAACTGTCGTAAAATGTACATGGGATGAATTCACTATTGCCAACTTAGCTATTTCCTGGCTAGATCTGACTAATTACGGGCTAACCTTGATAGAAAAATTGTATCTAGCGTTTAGCCTTGGATATTGTATTTGTATAATGTCACAATTCATAATGTTATTTTACTGTACATCTTGTATAAATCCATCTTATAATTATTACTTCTGGCATATTTTCTGTTAGATTTATATTACTTCGAAGAATTTGTTGCAACTGATCTAGGTGTAGAACTTCACGTCTCTTGCAATCGCATGACATCAGTCAAAATGTCTATCTGATTCATTTGCAATCTACGTGGCTATTATTACAGTTCGTGGCCACGTTCCATTATTACAGTATTACGTGGCCATAATTACAGTTTTTTTACCAGGATTGGTGCAGAGAGGTGCGGGTTCTTTTTCTTTCTTTAATTGGACTTTATAGGAGCCTCTGAAGACTGGTTCTATGCGGCCCCATGTCAGAATAGTTCAAGGAACTTGACTGTCTTGGAAAAAACTCAAGATTTCTCAATGGCTGAAGGGCTACAGAACGGGGCCACAAAAGTGGAGACCACACAGGGGCGGAGAGCACCACTCCAGGGCAGAAAGCCCCCACTCCAGGGCAGACAGCCTCACTCCAGGGCAGATAGCCTCACTCCAGGGCAGATAGCCCAACTCACTCACCTGGGGGCACTAACCACTACCTGGGGACACTAACCACTACCTGGGGACACTAACCACTCACCTGGGGACACTAACCACTCACCTGGGGGCACTAACCACTCACCTGGGGGCACTAACCACGAACCCGGGGGTACTAACCACACATGGAGGCATCTTAAAATCTTTGTAACGAAATTTGGCAGTTAGATGCCGGGAGCATTTATAGGTGTTCAGGAGTTAAACTTCACTTTAGCTGGTCGTACCATGGCATTCGCCGGCTCAACGCCTCGTAGCGGGACACAGCACGGCATTTTCAAAGTTCGAGAAAGATAGTTCTAGAAAGATGACGTAGCAGCCGGCCGAATTAAGCCGGCTACTGTCACGGGAGCTCAGCTCAAGGAACCTCTTGCCTCAACGGTTAGAACAGAACCCGAGGTGCGGGTTCGATCCCAGCTCAGTGCGCCCGTTTCTGGTCAGAATCAGCAAGAAGGCCGGGCGGTTAAACACAGCAGAATTGTAGCAGTGAGTTGCGAGTTCGAGACCGCAAAATGCTGTGAATTCTGCGATGTTAAAAATTGTAGGGAGGCGAGAGATTTTCTAGTAGGGAGGCGACAACGTGTCAGTATTAATGGGTTCGTATCAGACTGGGCTTCAGTGCGCAGCGGCGTGCCATAATGAAGGTTCTCGGGCCTATTTTATTCGTTGCGTTTATAAACGATCTGTCAGAAGCTGTGTCTAGCGTTTGCTCGATGTATGTTGACACAAAAATTTATAATACAGTGAAGAATACGTCGCAAAAAGTACAGTTGCAAGGTGCTCTTGACAAGTTGGTTGACTGGGCTGATGAGTGGCAGCTGCGTTTAGAATAGAAATGAATAGAATAGAAATGTCGGCACTCGGCAATGAAGAAATAGACAGGAAGAAATAACGCTGACTAATGTAAAGTAATCCACCTTGGCAAGAATAATGAACAGCAAGATTACAGTATGAGAAGACACGGTTGCAACGAAAGAGTGATGATGTCGAAGTCGACAAGGGAAAAGATTTAGGAGTTAATATCGACAATGAGTTGAAATTTTCTAAGCATATTGAACGTCAAGTTAATAAAGCCAATAAACGACTTGGACTGATCAGACGAGTTCGCTTCTGATCGCTTCTTTCGAGTTCCTAGATGCAGAAGCGATGAAGCAGTTGTTTGTTGCTGTCGTAAGCCCGAAAACGCCCGAAGTTTGGAAACATCGTGTGGTCACCGAAATTTAAAAAGGACAAAAAATTTTAATGGAGAGTGTTGAAAGACGCGCAACAAAGATAATTACGGGCTTGAGAGGCAAGTCCTATGAGGAAAGATTAAAGGTCATGTAGCTTCCAAGCCTCGGTTATCGACGTCTGCATGTGGACCTCATTGAAGCATACAAGTATACTCATGGCTTATACAAGGTCCCAGAAGGATTAACTAGAATTTGAAGCAAAAACCAACACCAGGGGCCACGGCTATAAACTAAAAAACTGCGTTGTAACACATCCATGCGACAACATTTCTTCTCGATTCGAGTCACCGACATGTGGAACAGCATCCCTGATAGCATCGTTGACGCTCCGAGTATGAACGCCTTCAAAAACAGACTAGACGAAGCTATGCAGGAGCATATGTTCAGTCTTGAAATGCCTAGCAAATTACGGACCAGGCAATAAGTCCAGCAGCTATCTCAATCACGAAAAATTCAAAAATTGGCAACAGGCCATGGCCTATTTCTTCAATGCCGACACTTCTATTCTTTTCTAGTCCTCAACATTCCGAACGCGACCGACACGCATTTGATTAATGTGTCTTTAGTTCTCATTCTCAACATTCCGAACGCGACCGCCACGCATTGAATTTACGATGTCTTAACTTCCAACATTTTGAATGTTTTCGTCACGAATTCAAGTTGTCAGCATTTGCCAACACCCAGAACGCGGCCAAGTGTCAGCGCCGACAAACTTCATGGGATCATCAATGGGTGAGCACCGCGCATATTCAAGCTGGGTTGCTGGTGCTGGCGTGGGCGTCTGTCGCGACGACACGTGCATCGCTCAACAAGACGAAGAGCTTCGTTGACACAGATGTTCGCAGGCGGTCGTTGGTGCTCGACTTATCACGCCTGAAGCTCTCTTCTTAATTAGATGAAATGATTAATGATTCTTTGGCAGCTTATGTAAATTTGTCATTTAGTTTATTCAAGTGTTGCGCAGCCTCTGCTGCAAGCCACCTTGTTTGTCATGTGTTGTAAGCCATGTTGTGAGTCATGTGTTGTGAGCCATGTTGCATGTCATGCGTTGTTAGCCATGATGCGAGTCATGTGTTGTAAGCCATGTTGCGAGTCATGTGTTGTAAGCCATGTTGCGAGTCGGGTGTTGTAAGCCATGTTGTGTGTAATGTGATGTAAGCCATGTTTTGTGTCATGTGATGTAAGCCATGTCGTGCGTCATGTAATGTAAGCCATGTTGTGTATCATGTGTTGTAAGCTATGTTTTATCTTGTGTTGCAAGCCATGTTGTGTGTCATGTGTTGTAAGCCATGTTGTGCGTCATGTGATGTAAGCCATGTTGTGTATCATGTGTTGTAAGCTATGTTTTATCTCATGTGTTGTAAGCCATGTTGTGTATCATGTGTTGTAAGCTATGTTGTGTATCATGTGTTGTAAGCCATGTTGTGTGTCATGTGTTGTAAGCCATGTTGTGTGTAATGTGTCGTAAGCCATGTTGTGCCTCATATGTCGTAAGCCGTGTTGTGCGTCGTGTGCTGCATTACAAAAAGACAAAAGACATTTGTCGTCGGAATTTTCACTGTTCCCTTTACCACACGTTTTACTGTTGTTAATTAATTGTACAGTCTGGGCATAACACATGTAATTCAGTGTGTCGGTGGAAAATAAGGGAAATCAGTAAAATGAGAAAGAAAAAAGTATAATTTGTTCAGTGTAAAGTATTCAGAAAATTACTTTTTTATATATAAAAAAGACTAAAAAAATAACAGATCCGTAGAATGAAATTATAGCATTCAATAAGTGAAGCAGTGAAGTGTTTACACTAAGTGTCAAGTGTTTTGCATTAATTCATTGAGAGAAATAAGAATGTTGAGCTGTAGTAAGAGAGGGAAGAAGCAAGTATGCTTGAAGCGAAGGTATTTATTACTTACTTCCTGCCGAGCCTACAGCGCGGCCTGGGAGCCCAGCGTTACGAGCCCAAGGTTCTTGCGGTCAGAATCCGAGCACAGTGTAATAGGACCCTTTCTCACAGGGCGGGAAATCCCGCTGGCGTGAAAAAAACCGCCGCGGGATTTCCCGCCGAACCTCAGCGGACATATAAAATGTGCACTGCTATTCACACACGACGGATTTTCACGCGGCGTGAAATTTCACGCCTGACGACCGCGTGTTTCAAGCTAAAACTGTGGCGGGATTTCCCGCGACAGTTTAGCTTGCAGTGGTATTCAATGTAATCTTTCACACGGGGCGGTTTATCACGCCGCTACCTAGTGTGGTACAGAAAGTGGGTCGGCGAGAGTGTGTGAGAGTTAAAGTTTTTCAATAACAGGCACGGCGTCTCTCATCTGCGTGCTGTTGTGGGTTAGTTTGACTTGCACACAAGACAATAATTCATCAAAACTTTCGGCAGACATTCGACAATAATTGAAGAATTTTACTTCAATTTTCCGAATAGTGTGGCAAATTCACCTTCTTGTGGCCTTAATTTTACTATATTGTGAACCCAGCACCTCCTTTTCTTTCTTTGCTGTCTTTTATGCTGCAAATATATAAGGAGAGCCTTCTTTTCTTTGCTATGAGCAGCCATTTATAGATATAGTTCACAAGAACTGAGGACCACTTTTACGGAGAACAGCGCTGCAAGTCTGAAAGATTCCAGCGTAAAAAACCGCCTCGTGTGAAGAATAGCGCGGGAAATCCCGCGGCGGCTTTTTTTCACGCCGGCGGGATTTCCCGCCCTGTGTGAAAGCGGCCTAAGGGTACGTACACAATGAAAGCAGGTTTGCCCGCGCGGGCAACCTGCTCCAACCTGCCACAAGAATGAACATAGGATAATAATA